GAATACTTCCTTGAAATTGGTCTAATAGGCCAAGGTGTCCCACTCTGAATTCCTTCTTGCAAAAGGCTGAGTGGGTCCCACATCTGCTCTCCATCTCCACAAAGAATTGCCTGTTTTCATCTTCTGCGAACAAGTCCCGTGGGACAGAGGTACGCAACTCCACGGCAGAATGCGTGCTTAACATGCAGATGTGTCTCAGTTCTGTCACACACCCCCAGTCCTCTGTGACAGTGTTCACCACATGCTTCCGCAGTTCAGCTTCCCCCACTGCCCTTTGGAAGGAGTGTGCCCACCTTGGTGAGAGCTTGAGGCATCAAGCTAGGCCACTCCTGCAGAGCTGCCATGAACCGTTTACCGAGTATTAGCTGTGATAAAATAAAATGGATTTTGTGATATCTGTTTATTCTGCCTTTGTGTCATAATTGAAAGTTTTTGTTAAGCCAAATGGTTGCATTTCAGAACTTTAAGGAGAGCTTCCACACCAGTGGCCAGTCTAGGGCAAACACTGTCTTAGCACTAGTCAGCGGCCTGGTTTTCCCGCTCGCACAACTAAAGCATGCTCAAAATGATGCAGCATCACACACCAAGGGTGTCTCCCCTCCTTCCTGGACAACCCCGAATCTAGGGTTGATGACTTGCTGTAAAAATAACCCTTTGGTTTCACCACACAAAGCCACAGAGGCACGGTGGTAAAGTGCTGTCCCTGCCCTCTACAAACTTACAGTCTGAAGGATGTGCTCACTTTCTGTCACCGTGACAGATATCAGGTATGCCAACCTACAAGAAAGAATGATTCCCACTATAGAAGTGTTCCACCTGTGGTCACATGACTCATGACCTTTGGCCTGTATCGAGGCAGGTACTTCATCGTGGAATCAAAGGGAGAATCCCCTCAGAGCCTTTCACCAGGCCCCATCTTGTTGCATGGCTCCCAACAGCCAAAGGTCCGGGGGTCCTTAAGACATGGGCCTTTGGGGGATCCATATCCAACTGAAGGCACATTAGTTCCTGTGACCAGAAGAGGTGTTTTGTATGTCCAGAGGAGGTCTAACTCAGGACCAGTGAAGGATTCCCCAAGTCTCAATGCCAGTTTCCACACTGGGTTTGGTGGCTCTCACTCTCTACCATGTGAGTCTCATACACTTTTATCTTCTCAAGGTGAGCAAAGGGGAAGAACATTAGGAAGCAGGTCAAAGACAGACACAGGACATCCCAATCCAGGGACCGCAGCTGTGTTCATGTCTCAGCTACATCATCAGCGCCGGTCACATGGTAAAGGCCACCCAGTAAACCCTAAGGCACACAAACCAAGAGTCCCAGCAAGCTGAGCTAGAGGTTTCGCCTGCTGTGACTTCTCCCTGCCACATGGTGCCACTGTTAGCAGATGGCCCTGTGGCTTAGCTTCCACAGATCTCAAATGATCATGCCTAGCTTTCCATGGTCATATTTCTCATAGGTTAGTGCCCTTGTCTCTCTTTCAGAGTTAAGCTTTTTGTTTTTGTTTCTTAGACATGTAACCCTGGCTGGCCTGGAACGTGCTACGTAGACCAGGCTGGTCTTGAATACACAAAGATGTACCTGTCTCTGCCTCCTGAGTACTGGCATTAAAGGGGTATGCCATCACACCTGGTGCAAAAGCCTATCGTTGAAAACCCAAAAAGGTAATTGTTAACAATATTGACACTAAGCAGGGCAGTGGTGGCGCACACCTTTAATCCCAGCACTCGGGAGGCAGAGGCAGGCGGATCTCTGTGAATTTGAGGGCAGCCTGGTCTACAGAGTGAGTTCCAGTACAGGCCCCACTCCAAAGCTACAGAGAAACCCTGTCTTTAACTCCCCTCCCCCCAAAAAACCTCAAACCAAACCAACAAACCAAACAACCAAAAAACACCAACCAATGTTGACACTATTCCATCAAAACAAAGGTTAAAAAAATCCTGCTAGAACTCCAGTCCTTTACAAAACCTCAGGCTTGAGACCAGGGGATCCCTGGGAAGGCTATACATGTACAGTATCCCAATTAATTTAACTTGGAGCTGGAGAGATGCCTCAAAGGTTAAGAGCATTGCCTGCTCTTCCAGAGGTCCTGAGTTCAATTCCCAGCAACTACATAGTGGCTCACAACTATCTATAATAAGGTCTGATGTAGACAGAACACTCTTCATATAACAAATCTTTACAAAAACAATTTAACCGTTAACTTGAATCAGCTTTAGGTCACCTGAGCAGAGTCACAACTGAGGGATTTCCCAGTTAGGTTGGCCTGTGGGTGTGTCTTGGGAGGTGGGGGATATTATTTGACTATTTATTAATGCAGGGAGGCCCAGCCCACCATGGGTGGTGCCATTCCCCGGGTAGGTGATTCTAGCCTGCATAAGAAAACTAGCTAAACACAAGCCCGAGAGCAAGCCAGCATGCAGCGTTCTGCCATGGGGTCTTTGCTTGAGCTCCGGCCCTGACTTTCCCCAATAATGCACTGAGACCTATGTGCCCAAAGAATCCCTTTCCTCCCCTGAGCTACTTTTCTGTCAGAGGTTTATCACAGCAACAGAATGGAGACAGAACACCCAGCGGCTGAAAACTGTCCCCTGACTCTTGACTAAAGGTGTATTCGATCCTGCCTTGTCCTGAGTGAGCTCTTAGCCAAGTGGACATGTGGGGAGGAGGTGGTTGCATGGTGATCAATGAAAGAAATTGTAGCACTTGTATTAACCCTGCAGGACAAGCCAAGGAAGGTATGGAAAGATTATGACCATGCTAAACAGCTTCATGCTTTAGGAATGAGAATCCACCTGCCAGTACAAATCGAAAGGCCTTAATTACTTTCCTTAACCCGGTATCTTACCATATTTTTAAAAATATGTGTGTATTTTCTGGAGAAAGTCTTCCTATGTAGCCCAGGCTGGCCTCAAACTCACTATCTTACACCCTAGAATGACAGCCATTTCAACTCAGGGTCACCTCTAGCGCCTGTGGTCCTTCTGGTCAGAAAGCTCATCCTGGCTTTTTGTTTTGTTTTGTTTTTCTTTTTTCAGTTTTTCAAGACAAGGTTTCTCTATGTAGCCCTGGCTGTCCTGGAATTGGCTCTGTAGACCAGGCTGGCCCCAAATCTACCTCCTGGTTTTTATGGTGCACCTGGCCAGGCTGTTCCCAGGGGTCAGAGTAGGAGGACTAGAGAAGACATAACCTTATGTTACTGAAGGCTAGGAGACCAGGGGAAAGACACACACGCTACTCTTAGTGGGTAACAGCTTATGGATGAAAGTCCAGGCACTTATCTACCCCTGTCCCTGTGTGTCCTTGACTAACTCCTCACCATCCTTCTCAAAAATGCATTGCATGCTTTGCAATTGTTACTCTGTGTTCATTAACTGACACATCCCTGCTTCAATCAGAATAGTTTGATTGAATAAGTTGTTTGGGGGTTTTCAGCTCAGAGAAGCCAAGGTACAATGTTGTCCACTGTTCTGAATCTGAATCCAGCTGCCACCTGAGTTTGACACCAACAAGACCAGTTATCTACCTAAGGGACATTGGTGGCATAGTTAGAAGAAGAAGGGAAAAAAAAAGCTTGGAATGACAGAACTGTGGTTGGAGGGTCTGAGGGTCACAGCGGACTCGCGTTCCAGGATAGTTTTCCATCTGTATTCGCTTCCAGTGTTTGAGAATTCCATTTCACATATAGTCTGGATGTCCCTACCTCAGAGGGTTCTAGAGACCTATTTCCCCATGGCAAATAGTGACAAGGTCAGAGGAGCCCACATTTAGCTAGGCCCTCAGTTCTCCATGTGGCACAGGTCCTACTCCCCCATGATGCAGCCCTCCCTCACGAGGAAGCCTGGTGCCTATTGTGACTTACCCACTCAGCGAGCTTACATCATCTGTTTTTCTATCTGGGACCTATTGTGTGTGTGTGTGTGTGTGTGTGTGTGTGTGTGTGTGTGTGTGTGTGTGTGTTTGTGAGTACAGTACAAATGTATATGCGAGTTTATATAGACAAGAGGACAATTTCAGCTGCCATTCCTGAGGCACCGTAGACCTTGCTTTTTGAGACAGGGGCTCTCACTGGCCTGGAATTCACAGTTTCTGCCTCCTGGGTACTGGAGTTGATAATCGCATGCACTCAGGTTTGTTGTTTTTGTTTTCTAATGTAGATTTTGGAAATTGAACTCAGGTCCTCATGCTTGCAATCCAAACACCACCCTACCTCAGTCCTACCTGGTACCCACTGGAATCACTAAGACAACCTTCCTCTTAGAATCTCTCTTTCATCCCCTTACCCAATTCAGAATTCAGACCTGCTGGTTCCGGTTGTTCCAAGCCCATTTCTTTTGTTTTTGTTTAAGACAAAGCCTTGCTATATGGACTGAGCTAGTCTGTATCTCGATGTGTAGACCAGACTGGCTTCAGACTCACAGCAAACCTACTACCTCAGCCTCTTAAATGTCCGGATTACAGTTGGGTGCCACGTGCCCAGTGCGTAAACTCGTTTTTGAATCGCCTCCATTTTGCATGGGTAGTAGATGCAAATGAAAACCTGTCTTCAGATTGATTCAGATTGACAGTTGTTCTGTGACTTCACTCAAGTTTTCTCTCTTGCAGATGCTTTCCTTGTGTACCTCTGTCTCATTTCCATTCCCTCCTAATCTTAGGGGCTGTTCGGAATTCCTGATTCTGGCCAGAGGAAAGGGGAATACTTCTGAGTACTTCATGGGGGTGACCAACGACCTTGTCGGCTTGTGCCCATCCAGAGAGCTGGGATTTTGACTGTGGAGTGGGAGCAGGCTCACCACGTAATAGGGAAAGTGATGTATTGACTCTATTCGGCCTAGGGACAGTCAGGACTGCTCTTCCAGCAGCCCACGGGCAGGTTGGCTTCTAGGACTCTTTGACACCATCCCTCCCTCCCACAATAGAAGTACATGTAGCCAAGCAATATGATGCATCTTAATTTTATTAGGATGAAGCATAGGGATGGGCAGTCGCCAGGGTAAAGGCAGGCACTTGGAGAGTACAGCAGAGACGCTGTAGTATGCTGCTAGAAGGCACAGCTGCTTTCCACAAAGCGACGGCACTTCATGACCCTCAGGTAGGTCTCAGCCTTGTGCAGGTCCTTCTTAAAGCAGGAGAGCAACCCGTAGTTTTTGAGCAGAGCGTCATCACTGCGCATGTTGGTGTCAAACTTGTCATAGGTTTGCTTGAGGATCTGCCCAACACGAGGGCTGCCATCTTCCAGCTCCTGCAGTGGGAAGGAAGAAGAGAGGCAGAGGAGTCTTGGGAGCTGTGCCCTTCCCAACTCCAGGACCTAGAGAAAGACCTAGAAACTTCATAAGGGGAAATGAGTAAGATGTCTTCTCAAGGGTCAAGGCCTGGTGGGTAAACTGAGTACAGCAGTGAGCCCCCAGCTAGGTTCCAGGCAGAGGCAAAGGACAGTGCGGCCCACCCCAGGCCATCCTCACCTGCATAAGAGCCTGGATGCCCTCTTCCAGGTCCTTCAGCTTCTCATAGACACGGTCTGAGGTTCCGAACATCAGGCTGTTGGTGAAGATCCTACTGAGGAACTGCACGGGTCCCAGCCACGACTGGATGAGCAGCAGCGAGAAGTGAAGTAATTCCATGTCCTGAGAAGAAAGGGTAGGGGAAGCGCATTGCCCAGTGACCTCTTCCTGGGACTCCACGGGAGAAGGGGATCCCTGGCCGGGGGTGCAGTTAGGGTTATTCGTGGGGAAGAGGGGATCTGTGCAGACAAAACCACTCACGGTTCTCTGTTGGGCCTCCTCCTTGCCTGTGGGGGCTGGGATGGTCTCTGAGAAGCAGAAAGCAGCCTGGGCATTCTGGATGGAGTAGCGCTGTCCCTCAGGGATGTAGGCACGCTCCTGGAGGAAGAGCAGTCACTGAGGTTGAGCTTGTAGCTCGCCGTCATCACTACCTTACAGAGGACCCACTCCGTTATGGTTCATCTTGTCAGCATTGGCTGAGGACCCTGACCCTCCAGCTTCCTCCTATGACTCCCCACTGTCTGGGAGCAGGGGTTTGCCCCTCTCTGCTTCCATAATCAGGTAGGTGCCCATCTCTGAGGAACTTACAAACTCTTTGTAGGTGTCAGCAGCCAGCTGGTGCAGATGTTGGGCTCGGAGCACAGCATTGGCAAACAGACTGGACAAGGGCATGGCAGGGAAAGCAGCAGCCTCCCGAGGCCAGAGCAGGCAGAGCAGGGTGCAGGTCAGGAGCCAGGAGGTCCGAGAGGCTAGGCAGGAGGGCAGAAAGACTGAGAGCGATGGCCAGTCTCTCCCACTCCCCTCAGAGACCCAGAGTGCTCCCAACATGGGCAGAAGTTGGGAGCACTCACTTTAGAAGCCTCAAATCCATCTTCAGGGCCCTTTGGTCCACACCACACCCAGCAGAATTCAAGGATGCTTACCTGCAGCCATTGCCATGAAGGGATCTGTCCACAAGACCCTGAGCAGTTTAGGATCTGGTCTCTAGGATCCTGATCTCAGTCCAGTGCATGGCCTTTTTATACCCTACCTGTTTTCCCCAACTCCAAAGCCCCTGCCTTTTTCCTATACATTTATTCATGGGTCAGGGGCCACCTCACAGCTTGTTCTGATGGATAATTTAGCGGTCCCTCCCGCTCACCGTGTTCCCACTCCTCTCCTGCGGTCATGTCCCCGGTCTTATCTTCCCATTGCCGCCTTTGCCGGGTTTGTGAGCATTGGTTATGCAAGATCTCAGCTACAGAGACCACCCAATGCGTCTTGTGGAAAATATGTGGAGTCCAGGGCCAGGGTACTCTGGCAGGGCGCTGGTGTGTTGTTCACTGGGATGCAGGGTAACAGAGCCCTTCCAAGGAAGCATTGTCCCCATCGATGTTTCTTTTTAAATTGCGTTCGTGTGTGTGTGTGTGTGTGTGTGTGTGTGTGTGTGTGCGTGCGTGTGTGTGTGTAGGTATCAGAAGATAACTGAAATTGATTCTGTCTTTCCATCATGTGGGTCCCAGGGATTGAACTCTGGTACTCAGGAGGCTTGGCTGCAGGTGTCTTTACCTCCTGGGCCTTTTTTTGGGGGGGCAGTCTTGGAGCCTGTCCTGGAACTGGCTCTTGTAGACCAGGCTGGCCTTGAACTCACAGAGATCCACCTGCCTCTGCCTCCCGAGTGCTGTGTTCTTTTCTTCTTGAGTGCATGGTTCCCTAAATCCACAACAAAAAAAACACATGTGCTGGATTTATAGAGATGGTTTGTATGTTAAGAGGGCTTGATGTTCTACCAGAGGACCTGCATTTGGTTCCCAGCACCCAAGTCAGGTGTGCCATAACCACCTGCAACTCCAGCTCCAGGGAATCTGGCGCCATCTTCCGGCCTCCATGAGCACTCACATACGTGTGGCATAGACTCACACATATGCACACCAATAAAAGTAAAAATAACCTTTCAAAACAAAAAGAGAGGCAGTGGCACATGCCTTTAATCCCAGCACTCTGGAGGCAGATGAAGGCACATCTCTGAGTTCCAGCCTGGTCTACAGAGCAATTCTAGGGCAGCCAGGGCTACACAGAGAAAACCTGTCTCAAAAACAACAACAAATGAGAAAGAGGGAGAGAGAGAGAGGCAGGGAGGGAGGGACGGAGAGAGAATGTGTGTGTTGGGAAAGGTGGGGACCTCTTCCCGGATCAGACACAGGCTGGTGGAGGGCGGCAGTTGGGTATAGTGCTAACACTGACCACTAGAGGGTACCGACCGCACACAGCACATTGCCCTCCCACCAACTCTAAGGTGCCCCTTAGGTCTGTGATGCAAAGGACCCAAACTTGAGGTCTTGCCCCTGCTCCTTGGACCTGCCATGGAGCTGTAAGCCAAGAAGCAAAGCTCTTGCAAACAGACGTGGACTTCAAGTTCTTCCCTTGCAGCCCTGAAGCCTCGGGGCACCTCAAAGTTCAGAAAGCCCTTGCTGGTTTTGAGCCTTCTGGCAGCGCTGGCAGTCTGGGTCTGCACTCTGAAAGAAACCAACCCATTCACTGTAGCAACCCGCTCCTTAGCTCTGTCAAGAGCTTATCAGGAGGCAAAGGACTTTCTCCCATTTGGTCCCGCCAAAGTCTTGGGAATGTGGTGTAACCATCAAACCCATTTTTTCATTTCAGAGGGAGGGACTGAGTTTGAGGGTCTGAAAGACCCACTTCAAGAGCCGGTTGGTTCTGAGGATGGACACAGCAGTTCCTCGGCCTTGCAGTTCCCACGTTCCAAGCTCCTTTATTCCTAGCACCTGTGTGAGATCACCCAGGTATTTTAGCTTCTGAATCCTTCTGAGTGCTGGGTCTCACCCCTAAACGCAAGGCTGCCTTTGTTTTCCCTGTCAATTCCCCGGGTGAAAATTTCCCAGAAGCGTGGGGTGCATATGGGGAAGCTTACACCAGGACAAAGCCAGGGCTGAAGAGGGCTGGACTGTGTCAGCATGTGGACCTCATCAGGATCGAGTTCCCAGCACTCCAGTGCCTAAATCTCCTACCTTTGGATCTCAGGATGTTTAACGTTTGATCCAGCAGGAAAACACATAAGCAAGCAAACCTCTAGAAGTAGTTGCTTGTGATATCATTAAAAAACTGAGTCCCTAGGAACCAGGCGGTGGCACACACCTTTAATCTCAGCACTCGGGGGCAGAGATAGGTGGATCTCTGTAAGTTTGAAACCAGCCTGGTCTACAGAGTTCCAGGCCAGCTAAGGCTGCACAGAGAGACCCTGTCTTGAAAAAAGAAAAAGAAAAGAAAGAAAGGAAAAAAAAAAAAAAAAAAAAAAAGGAAAATCATGTCCCTGAGGTCTACAGTGTGAATGCTGGGGCCTCTACACTTCTCCTCCTTGAGGACCATAAGATACAGTCCCTTAACATCTCCCTGATTCATCACTCTGGCAGGGGAGGGGGCTGCTGCTAGGACCTTAGGGACTGTTCCAGGCAGGTCTGGGGAGGGAAGGCTGCAGGGGATGACTGCAGATACAGGCTCTAAGAAAGAAGGTACCACAGAGAAAGGAAGAACACAATTTTCTCTCCTCCTTCCAACTCTCCCAAAGAGGAGGAGCTAGATGAATAGTGGAGGATGGTCCTCAAGCCTTCTGTCTCCACTGCTATCCTCCCCCAGTATCTCCTGGAAGAGGGGTAATTGACATCTTCTCTTGCCACCTCAGAACTTGAGTTGCCCAGGGGACTTTGGGAACTCCTGGGGATATACATCTTTATAGAACGTTAGTATGGTAAGCTCTAGGCCCAGGAGGATAAGCTGAAGACAAATCTGAGGTCATAGGGGTTGGTGATCTTTTCTCTAGTCTGGACCACTTTAGGACCTTTGGTGACAGAGACCAACACAAGAATTCACTGCTTCTGAAGCTAAGCTTCGCCCTAACACAGTGTTTGTTCAATTCTTCTGGAAAGTTGCCCAGTCTTACCACTGAGACCACAGAATCCTTCAGGGTCAGAGACTGCCAAACAATGGCCTCTGCAGGGCTCATGGGGGAGAGACTGTGACCAGAATCTCTGATTCCAACCTCCAGAAGTTCAAGATGACATCTCTAAGAAATATCCATTTTAATCTCTATGAGTTCAAGGACAGCCTGGTCTATAGGACAGCCAAAACCACACAGAGACACCTGCCTCAAAACAAACAAACAAACAAACAAACAAAAGAAATACCTGTGTTAGCACCAGAGAGATGGTTTGGTCAGTAAAGCATTCACAAGTGTGAGGACCTGAGCCCAGATCCCCAGCAGCCGGCCTTTATAAGGCAGGGCATGGCGGTGCACACCTATAACCCGGGTGCTAGAGGAGCAGGCTTCCTGGGGCTGTTCTAGCTGGATCTCTGAGGTTCAGAGAAGGTTTCTTTACCTTCTTTCTTTCTTTTTCCTTTTTGTTTTTAGTTTTTTGAGACAGGGTTTCTCTGTGTAGCTTTGGAGCATCTCCTGGAACTCACTCTGTAGGCGTGGGTGGCCTTGAACTCATGGAGCTCTGCCAGCCAAGTGCTGGGATTAAAGATGTGAGCCATCACTGCCTGGCCAAGGTTCCCTTTACTAAAAACAAGGTGAACTCCTCAGCAGTTCAGAGCATGCACCCACATAGGTCAGCTCACAAGAGCTTGTAACTATAGTTTCAGGGGACCCAATACCCTCATATGGTCCCCACGTTCACACAAACTATGTGTACACACACACACACACACACACACACACACACACACACACACAACACAAAACAGGGCAGACAGTTGCTTGAGAAACCATCTGTTGACTTCTGGCTTCTGCACACATTTGCACACAGGTGCACACACTCATACACAGATATGAACTGATACAGACATACACCAAGGACAGCCCTTATAGTTTGGAGTCCATGGATGTCTTTGTTTGGACGCCCTATGTGCGTCCAGACTTGACTGCCTCTGGGCTTTCCTGTATGTACCACAGAAAGCCACTGATCTTCTCCTGAGCCTAAAGTGGCCTCTCCTATGCTCCCAGGGTTCAAGTCTATGGTGGTAATGGTCTCACTGTTCTCATCCTGGTTGTAGATGACCTCAGCAGGATTAGGGGTATGCCTGCACACTCCTCACTGGCAATCTGAAGCACACCCTTCCCCCTTCTTGCTCTGCCCTCCTCTGGAGGTCAGAGTTGGTTACTACATTTGATGTGGCTTCTGAATTGTTTATATCCGGTTTAAACATATACATGACATAAATATATATTCATATAGTACATAAGAATGCATATATATTCTTGTTCAGGCTCCCCTGGAACTCACTGTGTAGCCCAGGCTGGCCTCGAACTCATGGCCTTCCTGTCTCAGCCTCCTGAGTGCCGAGCTTCCAAGTGTACAACTTCCCCTAATCCAGCTAGTACATGGGTCTTAGCACTACTGATCACTAACTCTATTATAGAGTCACAATGTTTAGACTCTAAAGCTGAGAGCATATTATTTGGGGATTCCCAAGGGCCTTTCCAGGGGAGGTGTGTTTCTGAAGATCCACCATGTGCCAGGAATTGTACTAGACCATAGGACATGTGTGTCTCATTTGAGAGCTAAGGACACTGAGAGACAGACTGCCTGCGTCTTGCAGTTCCTAAGGGATGACATGGCACAGGACCTTCCTCATTACATAGCAAGCCCCCACACAGATGTTCAGTGAGGGTGGGAGGAATTGAATGCAAAGGAATTGAATGGGGGCATCCACAGAGGCTAAGAAAAGTCGTAGCAAGAAAACAACCCGATG